CTTTTTTTAACTTCCTGTCATGACGTCATGTTTACATACAGAGACCCTTACCTCTTCATTATCTTCATCGAAGTATTTAACTTGAAAATGGTTTATCCCAAATGACGCTTTGATCTGCAATGCAATTTAAAAGAGTTAGTATCCAGTCTACAGTAAACAGACATTGTTAATTAGCTGTTACACTTACAACAAAGACTCAATAATGTCAATTACAGGCTGAGAAATGTTACGTTTCGACAACTGAAAATTGAATGTAAAAAATAAAAGCTTCATTATTAAATCAAGCTGAGGACATTTTCCTTGATAACGAGCAGCTGAACTAAGATCTTGTTGACCGAATTGACCGTCCTTCAGGTGAACTGCTGTTTACGCGTCTGCTAGGCCATTTCTAGGCCTGCTCTTCCCCAAACTGCGCCAGCTTTTTTTCCACCAGCAGCTTACCCAGGCTTCCACGGATTCCCATTCCAATTTGTCCACATCCTGAGCCAGGAATCTCTTCACGTTCCCGCGGAAGTTGACTTTAATTGTGACGGGGAGCCCCATGGCCGTCTGAAGTGGATTTAACGGCTTTCATTTGAGGTGACGTCGGCCTGCTTGATCCCTTCTGCCCTCGACTGTCTTCTCTTGTTTACATCGTCATCTGCGTCACAGCGAGACGGTGATGACGACCATGACGACGCTGCCTCTTCTTCTTCTGTAAATGAGATTGCACTCAGCGCCACCTGGTGGACTAGCCATTTAAAAAAATGAACAAAAAATGCATTGGGGCATACATTTTAAATTGTTTCTTCTGGTTCTAAAATGGCAATTACTTTTTTTATTCCATTGTATGAGCTATTTCTCCATTTTCAGTTAAATCTTTGAATTTCGGTGATTTATTTTGGTTATTTAGAATATGATTTGTTTGGTGATTCACTTAATTAGTTAATTGATTTTAGCTTGGTATGTGGCTGTTTCACAGTATAAATAGCAGGGCTGCCAACTTTTACCAAACCTTGGGGTGAGATTTTAAAAATAGTTTGGACAGGAAACCCTGTCAGGATTCGATCAAAAGGCTATGCAAACAGGTGCAGCTATAGGTTGGAGGTTTTCAGAGGATTTAACTGAAACAAAGTGTCAGAATGTGGGATTTTCATAGCACAGTAAATGTTAATATGATTTTTAGAGAATTGAAGTAAAGAAGAATGGACCCTACAGAAATATGTGCATCTTAAATATACTGTAAACTAAGAATTTCACAGCTTAGTTTATGAATTATTCTCTTCAGTTTAAGTAAAATAAACAATGGGAAACTAATACATTATCACTGGATTACTGGTACTAATAGGAACAGGAACCAGTGCAATCGAATCCCATGCAAACTACACTGTGATTGAATATTTAGATATAGATAAACATAGATATAGACAGATTTATTTGTCATTTTGTTTACACAAGTGTAAAACAAAAAGAAATTTCGTTAGGAACAGCTTGTTGGACAATTTCATCTTTTTTAAAAGTGCAGTCTTGAAAAATAGTAAAAATAGTAAAAAAAAAAAATATATATATATA